TGTCCTCTTTGGGGGACCAGAGTCACTCCGGATGTCTTCTGATTCTCTACTGTGTACTTTTCGGTGGGCTCTGTAGTTCAATAATAAGAAAAGGCCATTTCACTTTAAATTGAGACCCATCATTTCTCCAAGGGAGGTGATTCATGATTAATTAGAAAGTGTGTAAGAGGGGCCTTCGCAATGGAAATAGTAGTGTTCTGCGAATCGCACACATTTCATCCTGTCATGCCTCAAAGTGATAAAGGGGCACGTTAGGGAGGATTTCTGATTCCAAGCACGCGTCCAGCGCGCATACACACACGCATACATACACACAAATGGACTTTTCTGAAGCTGTGTTTCGCAAAATGAACAAAACTCTCCACTACTCCCGCGCTAGCTGTTACCCCAGTAAGGCCATTCCTTTCATTCTGATCAGCAAGCTGCTGCCCCTTCCGAGCTTCACGCCCACCGCCGCAGCGCTCACGCAGCAGCACTCCGGGGCTCCGCCTTCCGCTTTGTTCCTGGACAACGTCTCCCTCGCTGAGACTGCGGGCGTCTGCCCGTCCCCTTCGTTCGTCCCGCACTGCCTCCTGCCCACAGGCCTGGCGAGCCCGCAGGCAGGTGTGCGGCACGCCACCCCGGGGAGTCAGCTGAGATCCAGACGAGCCTGCACACACTGTCACCTTGCAGCCCGAAGGGGAGCGCTAAGGCTGTTCCATCGCGTGGCCTGAAGACTTCCGGTGATGCTGAGGCTTTTCTAGTAAGAGGCTCAACTCCTCGGGAACAATGGGTCTTCATCTTTTACAGCTCACCAGTGTGTCGCAAAGTCTCTGTGGTATAGCTCAACGTGCCCTTACTTACCCACGTTATGACCATGTGCCCTCCGCTCTGGGTCTTGCTATCGGCTGGTACTAAGGAATACGTGTGGTTCAAATGCTTTTGGAACGTGCTGGTAGTTGCCGCCATGAGTAAACTCCAAAGAGTTGTGTTTTGGCTCTGGGATCTCCTGGGCTTCTGTGTACCCCACGAGCTTTAGATGGTGCTGTTGATTTGAAGCTGTGTGTACACCGCTGTTTTTGCTGGTCTCGGTTTTGATCGGCTCATCTCGTCCACACGCTGCGTCTGTCGTCTCCCTGCGCGCCTTAGCTGCAGAGCTGCACTTGCTGTTGAGGCTGTCGTCTGTCCCGCAGGGACTGGGGGACCTGACGCTGGATTTAGATTCTCCCTGGGGGGTCACACAGCTATGAATGTATTTGCTTCCAACACCGCCCAAAGTGAATCTGATCTTGAAACTATAAATTGTAAGTATTCTGAAACTGGGAAACATTTATTTTAAATGAAATCAGGTAGTGTTGCTTTTTCAGCATAATAAATACATGTATCAAAAAAACCTTGTGTGAAATGTGAATCTTGTTAAAGCAAACTTCTTTTTCCACTGGCTAGGGAATCCGCTGAACATTAGGTAATGTGTCCAGTGTGTCCAAATACATTTTTTTTTTCTTTTTAATCACATGGAGGGTCAAACCTAGGGGTACTCTACCACCAAACTACATTCCCAGTCCTTATTATTTTACTTTGAAACAGGGTGTCACTATGTTGCAAAGGCTGGCCTAAAACTTGCAGTCCTCCTACCTCAGCCCCAGCATAGCTGGGGTCACACACCCCAATTCTCAGATCCATTTCCAAGTGTCTACTAGGAGCCAGGCGGTCTGCAAGGTGCCAGGCGGAATCCCCATGACGACCGAGAGATGATCCACCAGGAGTTCATCCCGAGGGGAGGGGATGGGAGACAGGGTTTTAGTCCTCCAGCCCATTCCAGTTTTGAGGTGCTTCCAAAGTAAGTGCGTGCTTGTCAAACAACCACTGGACCGTATTCTTGAAAAACAGGAAAGGTGAAGTCCACAAAGCCTTGAAGTCCACATGGAGCACTGAACCAGGCGCCACACTAGGTCCTGCCCTGGGCCAGTGAGCAGACCTGATCTACCTCTCACTCCGCATCTGTGGGAACCGCAGGTGTCCTTTCAGGGTCGGGGTAGGTATGCTCCCCACCCACAGAGGAGGGCGGCCTACACTTACCAAGGATCTTTGTCACCCACTAAGGTGTTCTGCCGTCCTCACTGCTGATGTTTTAGGAATGGAAGAGACAGCAGAGTTCCCTTAAATGCCCTTACCTGGCCCCTCTCCTGAGAAGTCAGGGCCCAAGAGCTGGCCACCTACAGAGCACTCGGGCCAGGCCTTCCCCTGCCTGCTGCAGGTCAGGTGCGGTGCAGGCAGCGAGCACACTGAATGCACGTGCACTTAGGCCTCTCCTCCACTGCGTGGTTTTCCTTTTTCCTTTTTTTTTTTTTTTGTAATACTGAGGACTAAACCTACAGTTTCATACTGATCTAGCTCTTCAGCCCATTGTAAAAATATAAAAATTACAGGACAAGGTCTTGCTGAAATGCTAAATGGCTGGGCTCAAATCTGGCACCCTCCTTCCTCTGTCTGCCCGTGCTGGGATTAAGGCTGTGTGCTGCTGAGCTTCGAGGAGAGGCGGAAGTGCGACGGCGCTGTGTCCTGACACGTGGTCAGCTCCAGCTGAGGGTGCAGACACCCACAGAGGGACCCAGGGCAGCAGCACAGAGCAAACATACCAGGGAGGTACAGGGTGAGCCTGCACTGAGAGGCTGCACTTCCTGCTGTATAACCAGATCGCTTCATTTCTGTGGGACTTCTTTGAGGGTAGAGATAATCTTCCCACTTGGACTTGCTAACCCTCCCAATAAAATCTCTAAGTTATAGTAAATTCATAAATCATTGCCTGGATAGCTCAGGGAAGCAGCCCATTGATGTGTCAGATAGCTGTTAAAACAGGGCTTTTAGGGAAAGGAGATCTTAGTTACATCTGGAGAGGATGCTTTACCCCATTCACCAAGCTCCGTGTATCTAGGGATGAGATGGCTTAGGAAACTAAGGAAGATATTTACAACAGGACCTGAGGTCACTGATGGGAAGTATGGAGGACAGTGGCTGGGCATTTCACTCCGATTCTAAGCTGAGCCCAATACTGAGCCTGTGTGTGGCCCACCACGCCCTTGCTGCCTGTCCCAAATGGTTGATAAAAAGCCTGCTCTGAGGTGAGCCAGGCAGGCAGCCAGGATGGCTAGGGTACCTGGAAAATCAGGGACGGGGAAAGCCGCAGACAGAGGCCGCAGCAGGGCACCGTGGCGTCCTGGCAGCGTCGGGAGAACCCAGGAGTGCGGTGAGAAGTTAGCTGGCAGCTGTGTGCATTTCAGGCAGCTTCGCACACTCACGTAACTATGCTTCCTTTTTCGACAATAAATTAAGAAAAGAAGGGCCAGCCAAGTAGCTCAGCGGATTAAAGCATCTACAAACAGGCACAGGGACCGGGGTTTGATCCTCGGGTCTGTTGGGCCGGCCCCACCCCTGGGGCGTGCTGAGACAGTGATTGAGACTGGACGTGGTGGTGCACACCTGTAATCCCAGCTCTTGGGAGGCTGTAAACAGGCCGATCACTACGAGTCCAATCTAGTAGTGAGACCCTGAACACTCTGTAGACCCTTCCCTAAGATACAAAAATAAAAAATAAAATTAAGGAAGAGTTTAACCTCTCAGTGTAACAAACACATAACCTGCAGTAAACCACTTACGAGCTCAATTAACTTAGAAGGCTTTAAAAGTAATACTCATCATCTTTAGCCTTCCTAAAATGAATTTAAATGTCATTTCTTTGAAATGGTAATTTCTACATATTACCCTTACCTCACGTGCAGTTTCTGGCCATGTTTCCCTCACAACATCTTTCTTAAGCTTTCCTGAGCAAGGTGACTGCACTAGAAAACCTGCCCCAGTATCTTGTGACATTTTAGGATCGTGAGAGGAAGGGTCCTTGTAGCTGTTCACCAGCACTGCCCAAGCGCATCTCCAACGTCTGGCACGTAGCAGCTCCAGGTGCACACATTTGATGGACTAATGACCAAAGGATGCTCCCACTCCAATAAAGAGGCTTCACTCTGGAAGCTGAGCCCCAGGCTTGATGGTGGCTGCAAGAACTTTTAAAATGTTCTCTAGCCTCTTCCTGTCTTTCCCTTGGGCAATCAGATGCCATGGAGAACTGCTTCATTCATTAAGACTTGCCTTCGTATTATACTTTAGCTTGTAGGCAAATAAGTATTTTGCTTTACTTTATGCCATCTCAGAAAAATCTCTGCTTAAAAATGGTAGGTTTGGGCTGGAGAGATGGCTCAGTGGTCTAAAGCACCTACTTAGAACAAGCTTAGCAAAGCGTCAGGGACCGCGGTTCGATCCCCCAGCACCACATGCCAGCCAGCCCCGCCCCCTGGTGGACTGAGCTGGCCACACACACACCACACTTTCTCTCT